TGTGGATGTATGTTGTAGTATCGTCTACTCGCCTCCCTCACATCCAGACCTAGCGAGTGATGGATGCGGAGTGGCGCGAGCCGTGAGGATATGTTTGTAGATGATCTGTTTAGTATTGGTAATACGCCTCCTGCGCTTCATCCTGTATATTTGTTTGGTATGTTCCCCTTTCTGCATTCCATTAATTACACCGAACACAAGACAGAACCATTCATCAGGATTTCAACCCTGTTCATTTTGAAATGGTCCGGGGAGAACTTTGGGGCGGACAACCTTGCACCGTTAAGAGCATCTTTTCCGAAAGCGCCCCGGGTCTTTCGAGGGCAGCCGGTTGAGGAGAGATGGAGGAGGAGGAGGAGGAGGCGGGAGCAGCATCAGGTGCTGAGCTGCAGCAGCGCCGCCTTTTGTGCTGCGGCCGCGGAGCCTCCGATGTGAGAGCCGGGCCGAGTCGTGGAGGGTCGGGGGAGGGGGCAGGGATGGGTCCGGGTCCTGGGGTCCGGGTAGCGAGGGAGGGTCGGGATGCAGCTGTGGCGGGTGGGGGAGGGGGCAGCGGGGATGCTGAGGTTGTGGGAATGGAGGAACCGTAGACCTGGACCCGACGCCTGTGGGGATGGGAAGGAGAGGAACGGAGCGGAGGGACGCTGCGGCCCAGCTTGGCCCAGCTTGGAGATGAAGAGCCTCCAAAGCTTGTATGGGTGGGGGTGGGGTATGGTTGGGGAACCGACTTAAGGACAGCGGGCAAGAGACCATCCACCTCTCCTCCCACTCTTCCTCAAGAAGGAGGAGGAGGAGTTTTGGCCCTTGAGAGAGGAGAGGAAGGATGGACAAGGCCTGGTGTGCCCACGGACCCCTACAGCCTCCCCCCAAACATACACTCGCTTAGCAGGCTGCACCTGAGGGGTACAGGCAGCGAGCACCTGTTCCTGGAGGCCCAGGCAGTGGTCTCCTTCCCGTCCACGGTGAAGCCCCTAATCCCCTCCAGCTATGGCATTCACCTTCTCCGTCCAGCTGTTGCATCCTCCCCTCCCCCGTTCATATGTGGTTTTCTCCCTCTGTCCTTCCATCTCCTCTGGTTTTCCTAACCCATTTCCCAAGCCCAGGCCTTTCGTGAACCTCCTCCTCCCTTTTACCCACACACTCCTCAAACTCCTTGGCTTAAAAATACACAAGAATCCTTTCCACAGAGTTGAGACTCCCCATAATCATGGCCTTGGCTGAGGGGAGGGAAGAGAAGGGGTCAGAGGCTTTCTAGATAGTGGAAGGAAATGGTGGGGCGACCCTTAGAATTTAGGGAGTAGTCCTACCTTTCCACTCCATGACCTGTTCCCTCTTGGGAGGAGAGTGAGTGAGTGGTCCTCAACCAGGAGGGAGTGCCCATGAGGTCCCCCCCCCCCAGTTATCTCAGGACAGTCAGCGCCTCCTACTGAACAACTGCAACTCCCTCCCAACTTTCAGGATCAACCCCATGGCTCTGGGAACTCTGATTTTCAGCCAGAGTGTCATTCACACCAAGGAAAGGCAAGCGGAAAGGATTCAGGAAGGAAAGGACCCAGGTGTGCCCGGGGCCTTCCTACGCAGACACCAAAGTTCCTCTGAGCTGGTAGAGCCGACTCTTTTCTGTCTCACACTTAAGAGTGGCAAAAGCAGCTTCCCTCTCCAGCCTGCCACTCACCCACTCACACTGGGGACTGAGGGGATTCTGGGAGGCCCACCTCCGGCGCACGTGAAAATGCACAACTAAATATCCATCCCCTCCTTAGACCCAGTTATGAGCAGAGGAGGCAAGAAGTTTAAGTAAGGAAGTGGCTCAGGACTTTCTGGGCGTCCTTACAACCGAGGACAGAACCCCTCTACAAACCAGCTGCTGTTCCCCAGGCCTTCCCAGGAAGTGATGGAAATGATGATGTGGTCATCTGGCTTTGCCAGGAAGAAGACTCTAAATTCTAGTACCCTCCACCCAGGACTCACCTAATGGAAAAATGGCTCCTTGTGTGCAGTCCTGCCTGGGCTGGGGGGAAATAAGGGACTAGGGATCCACCCTTCAGAAGTCCCTGCTGGGGGAAAAGGAGCAAAGTGTGAAGATGCCAGCAGGGGACACAGGGGCTTCGTGAGGGGTTGCCCACAGAGACTGGTCTCTGCTTCATCTGCTCCCAGGACTAGGGTGGTGTGTGTTGGGGAAGGTGATGAGGAAGCAGGGACTCTATTGCAGAAGAGACCAAAGATCTCCCAGGATAAAGAGCCCTTGTCCTTTCTGCTTTCCTTGCTCCCCTTTATCTCCCCTCCAGTTTGTCCATGTCCCTTGCCCCTTTCCATTGGTACCCTGCCTACTGCTTCTTGTTTTGTGGAAGAGGGAAAGGGAAAGAAATGATGGGAACTACATGAATAAAGCCCCTACTGATGCTTGTCAGGCACTTTTCACATGGCTAATGCTTATAGGGGGCTTGCTGGGTGCCAGGGACTGGGCCAGGAACTTTATTCAATAATACTTACAACAGGACTAAGAGGTCGTGTTATTATCATGATCTCTATCTTAGGGATGAGGAAACTAAAACTTAAGTAATCTGTTCAAAGTGAAAAGGTTAGTATGTGGCTGGAGCTGGACCAGAGCCTGTGTTCTTACCCACCACATTATATATTGCATACCACTGTGTGACAGAGGCACCACTGCCCCCATTTAGAGATGAAGGAACCGATGTCTATTAAGAAGCCTCATATCCCAGGTTGCCCAAATGATCAGGAGCAGAGACAGGATGTCAACCAAGCCTCTGAGTCTCAGGTCATCCACTCTCCCTCTACTGCACACTGTCCCAAGCTAGGGACAGGAATGGGACACTCTGTCCTTTTCATCTCCTCTTTAAAAATAGATTTTTAAATTTCTTACTTTAAAGCAATTTAAAGTCATTACTGAAATACTAGAAAATATAGATAAGCCACAAGAAGAAACACACCCACAATTCCACCTACCTAGAAAATGGTACACTGGTATCTATCCCTCAAGCTCTTTTAAAATGCACATTCAGCCCTAGCAGGTTTGGCTCAGTGGATAGAGCGTTGGCCTGCGGACTGAAGGGTCCCAGGTTCGATTCTGGCCAAGGGCACATGCCTGGGTTGCGGGCTCGATCCCCAATAGGGGGTGTGCAGGAGGCAGCCGATCAATGATTCTCATCATTGATGTTTCTGTCTCTCTATCCCTCTCCCTTCCTCTCTAAAATCAATAAAGAAAAGAAAAAACAAAATGCACATTCAGCTCAGGAACTATTTGTTAAAATACTCTGAACTTCCTCCTCCACATTCCTCTGAGGTCCTGAGCAGGAAAGACCCTCTGTGAGCCCCGTGGCCCATCATATCTTGCTCCTACCCTGTCCTTCCCCTCAGACTTTAAAGGGCAGGGTTGAGGGGTGATCCTAGACCACATTGGCCAGGGGGTGAGGATGGGGTGCAGAGAATTAGCCTTCCTCCTCAGTCCAGAGGAGGAAGTATGGCAGGATTTGCAGAGGAAGGACAAAGGATCTGGTAGAGGAATGACGGGACTCTAGCACACACTGCCATTGTGACCTGGTGTGCCTGGAACCTGAAATTGAGATTTGCCTTGGGGAAGTAGAAGGGTGGAGACCAAGTCTCCCTTTTTCTGGTCAGACAGAAAGACATGGCCTTTCCAGAATTCACAAAGAAAGACCTGGTGTCCAGCCAACCAGGAAGACAAGCCAGGGACTGTGTTCAGAGCATTCCTACATCGTTTTACTTAACCCTCCCCACCCCATGAGGTACCGTTGGGAGCCTTGGAGAGGCTACATTTCTTAAACTAACTTTTGGCAAAACTGAGGTTCTACTTCTGATCTATCCAAATCCAAAGCTGGCTTTGTTTCCCCCCCATTTCTCAGCACCTTCACTGCGGGAAGATGTGGTGGCCACTAGGGTTCTCGGGGCTTGGCCTGTATGAGGCTGAGGGCCCGGATTTCGTTTTCTCCAAGGTCTCAGGAGAAGGCATTTCCCCCTCATGAGGGCACTGAGAAAAGCTGTAGTTCTTTTTGTCTGAGAAGAACCCTGGGGCCAGGACCATGGATTCTGTAAGATACAAAACAACAAGCTGCAGCCAAATGACCAGAAGGCATGGCCAGAAGGGGTCGGTCCATCCTCTAAGGCAGTGGTTCTCAACCTTTTACAGGGGTCGCCTAAGACCATCCTGCATATCAGATATTTACATTACGATTCATAACAGTAGCAACATTACAGTTATGAAGTAGCAACGAAAATAATTTTATGGTTGGGTCACAACATGAGGAACTGTATTTAAAGGGCCAGAAGGTTGAGAACCACTGCAAGGGTCTCAAAGCCTGCAGAGGCGAAACTAACATTCCAGTCTTGGGTCTCCTTTCCCCATGAAGGCCTCCCTTCCCACCCCGCTCAAGGAAGAAGGGGAATCTTCCTCCTCTTCCTGAGTGCCAGGTGAAGTCCAGAACAAGTGGCTCGTGCCCAGGGTGAACATCCAAGATTTAGGCAGATGGCCTGGCCTCTCAACAGAGCCTCCAAGACGCCAGATAAGCAGCTTGGCGTTGAGATTATGCTGTTAGGAGGAACCAAGAAAGAATTCAGAGGGTTTCCTTGCCACGGGCCTCCAGCATCTCAGGCTGGAGAACCTCGGGGGAAAAATTAAAGGGGGAAGAGGGTATTCCCTGCCTTCACTCCACTTATACAGCCTCCTGAAGAGGAACTCTAGGAACCAGCACCAAAGCAGAGAATCTAGTAGCTGAAACTGGGTGTCAGGGTGTCCAAAAAGCCTCTTACCCTGGAAGATGTATAGCTTAGGGACCACTCTGTCCCCTCACCCAATCTGAAACAGAGTTCTGCACAGTAAGCACTTGATAAATATGGTGGACAGGTGACTGACAGATATCCATCCACTCCTGTCACATCCCTGCCCTTTCCCAATGCTCTGCATAATTGATGTCTGGGGAGACAGCTCCCCTCCCCCAGGTGACCAAATGTCTGGGCCAGGGGTTCCTAGCCATGTCCTCCCAAAGCCCTGGCTCCAGGCCCAGCTGGGGGGGGGGGGGGTAGTGGGGCACAGCTGGCAGGTCAGAGAGAAAGGAAACAGAGGGGGGGGGGGTGTGCTGCTAGAGAGAAATCTCCCATTTACTACAGCTCCCTGGAGCTTCACCCCTTCAGGTCAATCTGGAAGAGTAGTCATTAGCCTGAGAACAGGGCGAGGGTGGATTGAGCCTGGATAGATTCCCTCCCTTTCCCTTAGTCCCATCTTTTTCTTCAGCTGCTCCCACTGCCCTGAAAGACAAACAGGTGAAATGGCTTCTCCCTCTCTCCCCAGCTGCTGGCCCTGGATACCAGAGGGTCTCTGGGGAAGTCTGGTGAACTGGAGAGAGGCTGGGCTTCATGTCACCCTCTCTATGCCTGAACCTCTTAGTTGCCAAACGCCAAATGAAGGCTGAAAATTTCCTTTTAAAAGCCAGGTGTTGTGCCTACTCAAGGCTCAGCGTCTAAACAGAAAACGAATCATCCTGTTCTTCAGTCAGTCCCTTTTGCTCTCCTTTTTCTCAGTGTCTTCTCTGCTTTTCAAAGTCAGTTTTTCAATCCATTCTTCTCAGGTTTGACTCTCCCTGACTTCACGCTGTTTCGGTCTGTCTCTCAACTTGTCCCTCCCTCTCTGGCTGTGCCTGTTGTCCTTTCGGTGTTGGTTCTCCCTTCCTCCCGAGTTCCTGCTTTCTCTGTGACACTGCACCCGCCCTGCCAAACTAGATCCACTCTCCAGCATCAGTCTCCTCTGCTTGCGCCGAAGATCTGAATGAGGGGCAGAGGGAGGCAGGGCAGGTGAGGGGCACCGAAGCAGCCGGCAGCTGCACGTGGGCCAGCCCGGGTCGGGGGCGGGGCGAGGCGCAGCCCCACCCCCGCGTCGCTGCTCACGTGACTCAGGGCTAATCTGGTCCCGGTGACTTCACGCGCCGCCTCGGGCCCAGTCGTCATGGTTACGCCGCAGCGCCCAGCGCTTTCCTCAACCTGCTGTGTCCCCTCCCCTTCCCGACCCGGACCCCCTCCTCCCGCTGCCGGGCCTCCGCCCGCAGCCACGCGCCACGTGACGACCAGGAAGGGGGGGTGGGGGTGGGACCGTAACCCCTTCCTCTCCGCCTCGTTTGGGCTTCTAGCGGGCCAGCAAGTGGTCCTGGCTCCTCCTCCAACGCCCACCCCGCTGTCCCGCCCTGCTGGCCTGCCAGGGAGCTCCCGCCTGTCTTCTCAGGGGTTCGGAAGGGAAGCCCCGTTTGAGGGCGCTGGTGGCAGCTCTCAGATCCTCCAGGCGCAGCGGTTCTCAACCTGTGGGTCGTGACCCCTTTAGGGGTCAAACGACCCTTTCACAGGGGTTGCCTAAGACCATCCTGCATATCAGATATTTACATTATGATTCATAACAGTAGCAACATCCTATATAATAAAAGGCTAATATGCAAATTGTCCCCTTGACCAGGAGTTCAACCAGTGGGCGAGGCCAGCCGGCCAACCACCCACGGCCCCTCCCCTCGGCTGGTCCAGCCCCATCAGTCTGATCAGGGCAGGCCAGCTGGACCCCACCCATGCACGAATTCGTGCACCAGGCCTCTAGTTATAGTTATAAAGTAGCAACGAAAATAATTTTATGGTTGGGTCACAACATGAGGAACTGTATTTAAAGGGCCAGAAGGTTGAGAACCACTGCTCCAAGGGGACTTCTGCGGTGCACTGGCCTGTGTTTGTCATTTGCATTGTAGTGTACATCTAACCCATTGAAGGCGCTCATCTCGTGGGATATGTTGGGGATTCACAGGCTGGACCTGACTGTGATTTCAGCTCTCTGCACCTGCTTTCTCAGGAATATAAAGGGGCCAGTGGTAATATTTCCTTCGCTGGCTGGTTCTGAGGAATGATAGGTAGTGTAGGTGCAAAGTGTAGTAAGACATTCCTCTGGGGTGAGTAGAACAGTGGCCCCATCTTACTGAGCACCTGGTGCTGTTTGAGGCCCCGGGATCGATCCCATGTGAAATCATAGCTCTCAGAGGAGCCAGGCGCCCTATCACATGCGGCCTGGGTAATGGGAGCCATGACAGAAGCACAGGGGACTGTGCCACAGCAGCAGGGACAGGGAAGATGACTTCCAGGATGAAGTGAGATGGGAGAGCAAGAGATCCGGCTCGAGAGCACACCTGGGGACCGATTCTGAGCCTCTTCCTAGCTAAGCTTCTTGGGCAGGTTAATAATACCTCTGTCAAATGGCCAAAGGATGCCTACCATAGAGCTTTGAGCATTAATGAGCTAATGTGTCTATGACAGAGGCTGACATATATAGTAAGCCTTCCATGAGAGTTAGCCATTCTCAACTCAGTTGTGTATGGCCTGGGTGGGTACCAATAGCAGTGGGAGATGAGGCTGGGCAGGGGCCAGAGCTCAGAGGTAAGGCAGGTGGACCAAATGCAGTGGATCATACTAAAGGGTTTGAAGCAGAAGAGGGGTTGCTAGCCAACTTTTAGTTTGGAGCATTGTCTGATACACCCAAAAACGTTTTGACTTCAGTTCCTGGTCAGGGCACATACCTGGGTTTTCAGCTCAATCCCCCATCGGGTGGGTACAGAAGGCAACCGATCAATGTTTCTCTCTCCCTCTTCTTCCCTTCCTCTCGCTCTCTCAAATCAGTAACTATATCCTCGGGTGAGGGTTTAAAAGAGAAAAAAGTTATTTTAAAGGCTGGTGGAGAATGGGCGGGGGCGGGGGGGCGCGGCAGCTTTGGAAGAACTTGGAAACCATTTAAGAGGCAGTTGTCCTGGGTCAGGTGACACAGCTAATAAAGCCTGAATTAAGTAGTAAAGTGGGAGTAAAGAAGAAAGAATAGAATGGCATTGGGTCAGAACTTTTTAAACGTGTCAGGTACAAGAATCATCTGAGGTGCTTGTTCTATACACAGATTCTGGGTCCACCACACACCCACTGAAAAAGGCTTTGAGAGATGCCAGACGTCCATGTTGATCTGCGTCATTATCTAGTGCAGTGATGGTGAACCTATGAACTCATTTTTTTGGTTGATTTTTCTTTGTTAAATGGCATTTAAATATATAAAATAAATATCAAAAATATACATCTTTTTTTACTATGGTTGCAAATATAAAAAAATTTCTATATGTGACACGGCACCAGAGTTAAGTTAGGGTTTTTCAAAATGCTGACACGCCGAACTCAAAAGGTTCGCCATCACTGATTCTAGGGAGCTCGCTCTATGTGTAGATTCCTGACATCCCTCTCCTGATGTGACTCAGGTTCTGGTGCAGGGGGTTAAGGAAAATGAGAGGATTGCTGTCCTCAGGAACCCTCATATCACAGGATTTGGTAACTGGATGTGGAAGGAGACGGGCGACTGGAATGACCCCCCGTGTCAAGCTCTGGATAAGTTTGGTACAGGGTGCAGAATTGGTAGCTAGTTTATTTACCCTTTATACAGTTGGAGAAGCTGAGGCTCAAATACAGCTTGCCTGAAGTTACACAGCCAGTAAGTGGCAGAAGCAAGGCCAGGATTCAGAGTTCTTAATGATTGCTTTTTAAGTCGCATCCAGCTATGGATTGGGACATATCTTCATTGTCTAGAAAGCTGGGTCTTGGTTTGGGGATCTGGGAATGAGGCCCTGGAGAAAGAGGAGACAGGGTTTACTCTAACTGACCCCTGGGGGGAGAAGCTGGACTGATGGGGGTGAGGCTAAGCAGGATGAACTTGTCCTGACACAGCTTCTGCATCCCCATTGAATGGTTCTGCCTCGTTCCCCATCTGTGCTGGGGAGATAGTGGAGGTGATTGGTTACTGCCTTCACTGACCTGGAAGAAGCCCAGGTGTGTATCTCTGAGCACCCTCACGGGAGACCAGATGTGAGCTCTGAGCCTCAGGATACTCTCACCTGAGTTTAGTGTTCCTGCTACCGCCTCAGCTGTATCATGTGTAAGTACATGAGCGTGAGGCCCAGAAATGTCACCTGAGAGTGCTTGAGTGGCACTGAGTGTTATTATCACTGTCACCTTTGTGTGCTTCAGTGCAAGGGCCCTAGGTGTGTTACTTTTAGGTGCCTAAGGTTCAGACTCAAAAGGTATATATATCTGAGACCCTTATATGACATGTGTGTGTGCATGTGAGCCTCAAGTGAAAGAAATATGTGCTCCTAAGGCAAATTACAGTAATCTTACAGGGAGAAGGGACTAGTCTGTTGCCATAATACTTGAACTTGAGATATATTTTACCAGTACCTGAGCAGGGCTGTTACCTGTGTCTACGTGAGGATGATACTCAGGTATGTTACCTGTATACCTGAGTATCATTCTCAGACTTGTGTTACTAATAGACACTTTAGTGGAAGCCTGTGTATCAGGTTTCCTAAGATGGGTCCCAGGTGAAACTTGTGAAGGGGGATGGGTACCTGAAGGTGAGACTCAAATGTTATTTCCAGTAGGAGCCCAGCTCCCCAACTTGTGCCTGTGACTAGAGTGAGCATTCTGAGCGGACGCGCCTGTGGCTTTGACCATTCTCCCTCCTTTGTTCCTATAGGGCCCATCGCTCACCGCCACATTGGGGCCTAGAGGCCATGGCCTGCCTCCATGAGACCCGCACACCCTCCCCTTCCTTTGGGGGTTTCGTGTCCACCCTCAGCGAGGCGTCCATGCGCAAGCTGGACCCAGACACTTCTGACTGCACCCCTGAGAAAGACCTGACGCCTACCCAGTGTGTACTTCGAGATGTAGTGCCACTGGGCGGGCAGGGCGGGGGTGGACCCAGCCCCTCCCCAGGTGGAGAGCCACCTCCTGAGCCTTTTGCCAACAGTGTCCTGCAGCTACATGAGCAGGATGCAGGAGGCCCAGGGGGAGCCGCTGGGTCCCCTGAGAGTCGGGTGCCCAGAGTTCGAGCAGATGAGGTGCGGCTGCAGTGCCAGAGCGGCAGTGGCTTCCTGGAAGGCCTCTTTGGCTGCCTGCGCCCTGTCTGGACCATGATCGGCAAAGCCTACTCCACGGAGCACAAGCAGCAGCAGGAAGGTAGGCTTTGTCCACTTTGTCCTCAGGGACTGTCCCCCTGTTTCCCTGAGCTTGAGATCTGTTGGACAATCCCATCTAACTCACCTGTTGACCCTCTCTCCTGAGCTTGGCCCAAGCTCCTTATCCATCCATCAGCTACTGACTTCCCAGCTTTTTTTTTTAGGCCACCCATTCATTGCCTTCCCTGTCCCCCCAAACCTAGTCGTCTTGACCTATTTTGGCTACTTTTTTGCCTCACCCTCCTTGAGTCATTTCAGCTAAGCCAATCCTCTCCCCTGTGCCTATCACAAGGCCCCGAGGGTGGCTCTCTCTGAACCTTGTGGCACTGTGCCTCCTGTCCACAGACCTTTGGGAGGTCCCCTTTGAGGAAATCCTGGATCTGCAGTGGGTGGGCTCAGGGGCCCAGGGTGCTGTCTTCCTGGGGCGTTTCCATGGGGAAGAGGTGGCTGTGAAGAAGGTACGGGACCTGAAGGAGACTGACATCAAGCACCTGCGAAAGCTAAAGCACCCCAACATCATCACTTTCAAGTAAGGTTCAGGGCAGGGGTTGGGGATACTGTGCTGAGGGCAGGGACCTACTTGGGTGGCAGGGATCTACTCCACCTTGTTTATTTACTTTTAAAAAATATTTTTATAAATTTTTTTTAATCCTCTCCTGAAGATATATTTTTATTGATATGAGAGGGAGAGAAATATCAATGTAAGAGAGAAACAGCGGTTGGTTGCCTCCTGGATGTGGCCTGACCAGGGATTGAAACCACAACCCAGGTATGTCTCCCGATCCAGAATCGAACCTGCGACCCTTTGGTGCACAGGAGGACGCTCCAATCGACTGAGCTACACTGGCTGGGGCTATCCTACCCTTTTATTTTTTTTTAATGATTTTTATTGATTTCAGAGAGGAAGGGAGATGGAAACATCAATTATCAGAATCATTGACTGACTGCCTCCTGCATGCCCCCTACTAGGGATCAAGCCTGCAACATGGGCATGTGCCCTGACTGGGAATCGAACCCTGACCTCCTGGTTCATGGGTTGACACTCAACCACTGACCCCCACCGGCCGAGCTACCCTACCCTTTTTATTTATATTTTATTTTTTTAAATATATCTTTATTGATTTGAGAGAGGGAGAGGGAGAGATAGAAACATCAATGATGAGAATCACTGATCGGCTGCCTTTTGCATGCCCCCCATTGGGGACCGAGTTGGCAACCTGGGCATGTGCCCCTGACTGGAATCAAACCTGGGACCCTTCAGTCCACAGACTGATGCTCTATCCACTGAACCAAACCAGCTAGGACTACCCTACCCTTTTTATTTTTATTTTTTTATAAATATATTTTTATTGATTTCAGAGAGGAAGGGAGAGGGAGAAACACCAATGATGAGAATCATTGGTCGGCTGCCTCCTGCACACCCTCTACTGGGGATCAAGCCCACAACCCAGGCATGTGCCCTTGACTGGAATCGAACCTGGGACCCTTCAGTCCACAGGCTACTCTATCCACTGAGCCAAACCAGCTAGGGCTACCCTACCCTTTTTAAAGGAGTCACCCAAATGGCATGGGTGGGAATGGGGTTCCAGGTATACTGGGCTGGTTCACACTACTGTTTGGCCCCCAGGGGTGTGTGCACCCAGGCTCCCTGCTACTGTATCCTCATGGAGTTCTGCGCCCAGGGCCAGCTGTATGAGGTACTGCGGGCTGGCCGCCCTGTCACCCCTTCCTTGCTGGTTGACTGGTCCATGGGCATCGCTGGTGGCATGAACTACCTGCACCTGCACAAGATTATCCATAGAGACCTCAAGTCCCCCAAGTGAGTAAGCAAGCAAGCAGGGAGACACTGATGTGCATGGTCTCCTGCAGATAACCCCACCCACATCAGTGTAGCCATCTCCCCGCTTCCAGACCCTGTCCTATGTCCATGTGGCCATCTCAGAAACCCCTCCCAGGGACAGTCCTATCTCAGGAGGGTTGTGGTGAGCCCCCTGCCTCTGGGTGTCCCCAATGATTTAACAGAAAAGTAGGATTGCTGCACTGGATGAGGTGTGTGGAGGGGCCTAAACCCCAGCTGACTACACTCTTTACCAGCATGCTAATCACATACGACGATGTGGTGAAGATCTCCGATTTTGGCACTTCCAAGGAGTTGAGTGACAAGAGCACCAAGATGTCCTTTGCAGGAACAGTAGCCTGGATGGCCCCTGAAGTAATTCGTAACGAGCCTGTGTCTGAGAAGGTCGACATCTGGTGAGGGCCAGGCTGAGGACTGCAAATAGCAGGTGGCCAGCATAGGGAATGGGGGGGGGGGGGGGGGAGGGTTTCCCGGGCCTGAGTGCAAGTGAGATGTGTTGGTAGCAAGCAGGTCCTTTGGAAGGATCACCTCCCAAGTGATGTCCCCTCTAATCCCCAGGTCCTTTGGCGTGGTGCTATGGGAACTCCTGACTGGTGAGATTCCCTACAAAGATGTAGATTCCTCAGCCATCATCTGGGGTGTGGGAAGCAACAGTCTCCATCTGCCTGTGCCCTCCAGCTGCCCAGATGGCTTCAAAATCCTGCTTCGCCAGTGCTGGTAAGAGTGGCCTGGCAGAGCTGGGAAGCTAAGGGGTATTGCTGATGGTTAGCCAGCATGTAGAATACAGGCATTCAGGCCTAGAATCCTGAACAGGGAAAAGGGGACAGCGTTGCCATATATGGCTCTTGAAGACCCCAGGATTCAGACCATGAATCCAGGGGACGACAATGTAGAAATGAGAGGTGGATTGATCAGTAAGCTGCATGCGTGCATTCGATTCAAAGCCACACAGGCTTTCTGTGACCATGGGCAAGCACTAGAGTTCTTAGAACACAGAAGGGAAGAGCCCTAGTCCCTTATTTGGAACCTAGACCCCAAAGGAAGGTTGAACATTTCTAATCTTTGGTTAAACATTTCCCAAAGTGTGTTTCTTTTAATGGAGTCATTAGGGAAAAGGTTCTGTTTTGACAAGCAAGTTGAAAATGAATAGGTTTGCTGCAGGATTCTGATATGCTAACAGATAACAGACTAGGGAATTCTTTTATCAGAGTACATTCTAGGATTGGATTCATGAGGACACTAAGAAAGGATGCCCTAATTCCTTTCTGGTCCTCCCTCAAATTCCTTTCTCTAATGCAACTCCATTCCCTCCAGGAACAGCAAACCACGAAATCGTCCCTCATTCCGACAGATCCTGCTCCATCTAGACATTGCCTCAGCAGATGTCCTTTCCACACCCCAGGAGACTTATTTTAAGTCCCAGGTGTGCTGTGGGTAGGAAAATGAACACCTCAGCTCCCCCTCTTTGAGGGGAGGCTGGGAAGGGTTGATTGGGTTGGAATAAATGTGCTTTGGGGGGCTGAGACCTGGTGTTGATCAATCATGTACTTCACTCTCATGTTCCTCACCCCTCATTATTTCTCCACCCCCAGGCAGAGTGGCGTGAAGAGGTAAAGCTGCATTTTGAAAAAATTAAGTCAGAAGGGACATGTCTGCACCGCCTAGAAGAGGAGCTGGTGATGCGGAGGAGGGAGGAGCTCAGGTGTGTGCCTGTATTTGGAAAGGGGATTTCAGCAACAGCAGGGACCGTGGACCAGTTCCCAGGGACTGGGATCAATTATGGCACCCGGTGAAGCCAGCTAACCTCAGGGACCCTTCTGCTCATTTCAGACATGCCTTGGACATCAGGGAACACTATGAACGGAAGCTGGAGAGAGCCAACAACCTGTACATGGAACTTAATGCCCTTATGTTGCAACTGGAACTTAAGGAGCGGGAGCTCCTCAGGTAACCATACGGCCCTTATGCAACCCTAATCCCACTTTCATGAAGCTGTGCCTGACTCAGATGCTACTAAGCCTGGGGCCCCCCCCCTTCCTGGTCACATGCCCAACTCAAGTGGTGTGTGTCTTTAGGAGGGAACAAGCTTTAGAGCGGAGGTGCCCAGGTCTGCTGAAGTCACACCCTTCGCGGGGCCTCCTGCATGGTAACACAATGGAGAAGCTCATCAAGAAGAGGAATGTTCCACAGAAGCTGTCACCCCACAGCAAAAGGTAAGACCAGAGTTAAGTGCTGAGGTTCAAAATTGGCAAGAGGGATGCAGAAGCAGGGAGTAGGAGTCAAGGACGCCAGGAAGACTGGTACTGTATTTAGAAAGGGGAGAGAAGTGCTTTGTGCACTGCCCAAGGTTAGGGCATGCTTTCAGTTGATAAATTTGTTAATCTCAAACTTGTCCTTCCCCTCTCCCACCAGGCCAGATATCCTCAAGACTGAGTCTTTGCTACCAAAACTAGATGCAGCCCTGAGTGGGGTGGGTCTTCCTGGGTGTCCTAAGGGTCCCCCCTCACCAGGACGGAATCGCCGTGGCAAGACCCGTCATCGCAAAGCCAGCGCCAAGGGCAGCTGTGGGGACCTGCCTGGGCTTCGTGCAGCTGTGCCACCCCATGAACCTGGGGGACCAGGAAGCCCAGGGGTGCTAGGAGGGGGACCCTCAGCTTGGGAAGCCTGCCCTCCAGCCCTCCGTGGGCTCCATCATGACCTCCTGCTACGAAAGATGTCCTCTTCATCCCCAGATCTGCTGTCAGCAGCACTGGGAGCCCGGGGCCGGGGGGCCACAGGGGGAACTGGGGATCCTGGCTCACCACCTCCAGCCCGGGGTGACACCCCCCCAAGTGAGGGCTCAGCACCTGGCTCCACCAGCCCGGATTCACCTGGGGGAGCCAAAGGGGAGCCACCTCCACCAGTAGGGCCTGGTGATGGCGTGGGGCTGCTGGGAACTGGAAGGGAAGGGACGGCGGGACGGGGAGGAAGCCGGGCTGGGTCCCAGCACTTGACCCCAGCTGCACTACTGTACAGGGCTGCTGTCACCAGAAGTCAGGTAAAGTATGAGGGTTCTTAAGTTCTTTTTCTCCCTGGGGTCCAAATCCATAAACTCACCTCCCACATTAGGCTCTTTATCATAAGCCATTCCCTCCTTAATGCTTTATAATTATGTTCCCCTTCCCTGGGCCCATTACCTCTTCCCACTTTTGACTAGTCTATTCATCTCTCCTACAGAAACGTGGCATATCATCAGAGGAAGAGGAAGGGGAAGTAGACAGTGAAGTAGAGCTGACATCAAGCCACAGGTGAGTGATGGAGCACAAGAAGTAATGACATTCTTTTGCTTCCTGGGCTGCAAGAAGTGCAGTCAAGCTATAGGTGTCTTGCTGACCTATAGGTGGCCTCAGGGCCTGAACATGCGCCAGTCACTATCTACCTTCAGCTCAGAGAATCCATCAGATGGGGAGGAAGGCACAGCTAGTGAGCCATCCCCCAGTGGCACACCTGATGTTGGCAGTACCAACACTGATGAGCGGCCAGATGAACGGTCTGATGACATGTGCTCCCAGGGATCAGAAATCCCACTAGACCAACCTGCTTCAGAGGTGGTTACAGGCCCTGAACCCTCCTTGCCCATCCAGCACCAGGACCTACTCAGGGGGGAGCAGGTGAGTAACAGAAACAGCCAGTACTGGGCAGGGAAGAGATACCTGGTCATTTGAGAGCTATTGGGGAGATAGATGCAGAGGCCAGAAGATAGGTTTTTTGCATTTTAGTCACTCTACCTGAACCTGTTTTCACCAATATTAAAGAGCAGTATCCACATGGTGGAATGAAGCCTATAGTGTGGCAATTTAGTTCAATAGGCTTGCTTACACAGTAGCTAGAAATTGCAGCCAAGGAGGAATCCTGAAATTAGGAGTCTCATGCCTGGGAGAATGGCCTGAGCAACAAAATCTGGGGGCAGTAAAAAGCAGTAAGTTGCTGGCTATTATAACAAAGATTTCAGTGAGGGATCCTAAAGGAATCTACAATACAAGGGATTCTGAGCCTCACACCTCCTTGCATGTCTACTTTTCACAGGGCCCTCCCAATTCCGAGGACTCAGACTGTGACAGCACTGAACTGGACAACCCCAACAGTGGCGAAGCCTTGCAGCCCCCAGCCTCCCTCCCTCCATGAAAGCCACTCTTGTTCTTGTACATAGGAATATTTATATAAATAATATATATATGCGCCACATAATCAACAGAGAAAGACAGGGCTATCCCAGCCTTAAGTCAGGCTCAAGAGACTGACCCCCTGACCAATTCACCTAACTGGCAGCTGTGGAAATGAAGAACAAGGACTGCCCTAGATCTGTGCTAAGGGCAAACTGGCCCCTCCCTGCTTGACCCGGTTATGTTCAACAAGCAGTCAGGCAGTAGAAAAGCCCAACTTGCCTCCTATGATCCTCTACACGCTCCCCCCCCCCCCCCCCCAATACCAGGGAGAAGGAAAGGGAGCCACTTAACTGCACTTTTTTGTTTTCCATTTACTGTTTACACATTTTGCACCTGGGAGGAGGGAGGCTAAGGCTGGGTCCTCCCTCCTGAGGTTTCTCAGGTGCAATGTAATTTCTTTGTCTCTTCATTTCTCTGCCCAAGCCCTGGCTTAGGGTCTAGGGGGGAGGTTAGAAGATTGTACAAGCATGTGATGGCTCAGGCTGAAGAACTGGGGTTTTAAGTCCCTGCTTTTATCTTGGTGCCTGATTGGGGTGGAAACTGTCCTATTGTAACCCCTGTGAAAAACCTTGAAATATAACCACTCCATGCAGGCCCAGCTGTCGAGGGTTTTCTTGGTGAATGAATGAGGTAGCATACATGATCAAGTAGGAGCCTTGTGCTCCAGACATTATCTGAGGACTGTGGATAAATTACTTCCTCCTTTTATGCTCTTCTCTCTAAATGAACATCACTTAAAGCTCCAACCTTCTAAACTTATCTGCATAAATGGGAGCAGGTAACTCTAAAGGATGTTAGAAGGCAGATCTTAAAATACTCCATCCTAATATGGAGAAGGACTGTAAATGAACAGTTATTAAAAACAAGGTACTGATTTTTTTTAGCTTGGACAAGGGAATAGACATTCCTAGCAACCTGAATCCGTCACACTTCCAACAGCTTCCAGGTGTATGCATGTGCATCCTTTCCCACACCCCAACCCCCAGTTGACTGCCTATTCTTTACAGATAAATCCTAGGAAAATGTAACCCCCAACCTTTGAAATCAAGGGCACAGCCAGCTTGCTATAGCTACTAAGTCACCTTTCAACGCAGGCTCAAGAGAAAATCCAATGAAGGGCTACTGAAATAAATAAGAATGGAGTGGTAAAACAGAAGAAAACATCTTAACTGGAATAAAGGCTTATATTCAAAACCCAAGCAGGGTCCTTGTCCTTTGAGGGATAAAAGGTGCAAAAATAACAGCAAGACAACAGGAATAAAACCCACATGAATCACTGTGGCATCCAGTTTCTATTCACAAAGAAAAAGCTCCAGTCCATCTTTTAATTTTTTTGAAAAATTCCTGACATTACAGAACTAAACTGAAATGTATTAATATTCCACTCTTACATTTCCATGACAAACAAAAAAAAAAATTCATGAGCCAAAAAAAAAAAACACCAAAAAAAAAAAAAAAACAGGGAGAAGCTTATAAAACTAAATATGGATCTCAGCATTAACAGCTGAACAGAGAAAGGAATTAAAACGCTTTAATTAAAAAATCACGAGTGGATGATAAAGTGTGTAGAAACTGAAAATTTACAAACTATTTAAAACCTGGAATCGCTGACTGTTCAGAAACTACACAGATGGATCATGAGTGGTGGTGAACAGCAGAAAGGGATTATGGATGAATCTGCATTGTTCTAGCTGCTCCCCATGCCACCCGTCTCCGAAGAAAGCCTGTAACACAAAACAAGAACTCAAAGTTAGTTTTTTTTAATGCCCAGCTACACCTCAACTCCAAATGTTTCAACCTGATTGGTTGGTGAACTGTGAAGTAGAGTTTATGTGAAACAATCAGTGGTTCAGTAGCAAGGTTTTTTGAATCAACAAGTACCATGTGCCTGTAACCCCTGCAATCGAAGAAACTTCTTGAGGGGAAATTACCTCAGAATCAAACGAAACTGAGAAGGCTTGGTTATCAAGTGTGGGCGTCCCTCAAACTATGTTCCTCCGGAACCTTTGTAGGAGATGTTAAACACTTTATAGAAGTACACCATGACAGTAGGTGTATCTTCTTCAAGTCACAAATCACGGAAGCAATGGTTCTTTACTGCCGAGCTTATTTCCAATCCTCCTAAAATACTGACAGAATAATTTAGGAAACATTTATCTGAAAGTAGCCTCACAAAGCTAGTCTGAAACAGCTTTTTTATTCTAGAACAGTCCTGGGTTTCTCTATCAATAAAGGCCATTATTAACTATTAAGAGATAATGAAGTTTCAAATGCTAAGAGATGTCAAACAGGTAACAAGGTAACAAGTTTAGCAAGGATCAAGAATTATACTCAAGCTATAGTTTTTATGGTTTTCAGAACTTAAAGGTGGAAGCCAAAATAATTTGTTTCAGCAACTCTCTAGAAGCTCCCCAATCTGTGGTCTTAAGACAAACATACCGGGCTATAATGCCTTTGTTTGAAAACATCATTTGAAGCCCTGGAGTCCAATTTTGGGCTTTGAAGGAAAGGTATGTAGGCATTTGGCTTGCTTCACTGATATTAGGTAGCCAGCAAGACTTAGTTTCCATTTTAAAGAGAACTAAATCTTACAACTGAAATTTCAGTTCATAAATTTATTTCATAGACTTTAAAATGACTTGCCTAAGTCAAGGGAGCATGAATATTTTCCCATCTGTATCTCTTCTACCACAATGAAAGCCCAACAAGCTGGCCAGCTGGCTAGAGAGGCAAGAAAAACCAAGGCCAAGATAGATGGGTCTTTCAACTACGAATTAGTATTTTAGTCAGAAATTGTTATTTCTACCTGGGTATAAAGGAGGATATTGTGTTCTTAAAGAGAGTAGATCCTTGACAATGCCAAAATGGGATATCTAGAATAATGTAAATAACAGGCCCTGAATGAAAATTTAGGGGGGAATTGCTGGAAACAGTTTAGATCTAGGACCTAAAAGAAATTAAACTGATGCAAGAAGGTGGTGGCACTATGTCACCAAAGAGTTTAAAAAGAACTGTTCATGCACACAGCCTGAGCAGGATTGGAAGAGGGAGCAGGTATAAGGGAGACAAGGAATAGGAAAACCCAACAAAAATATTGTTAAGGACTCTATGTGACGGTAGTCAGCCCCTTAAAACATCTGGATTCCTTCCTAGCAATCTTTCTTTAGGAAGAACTCATTAGGTGAAGAGGCCTTCTAATCAAGAACTAGATAAAATAAAACCAGGTACCTGGGTGGAGATGATTATCAGCAAGATTAAGTCCAAACTACAGAAAGAGCTTACCTAAGGGAGAACTGGACTACATGATAAAGGAGCAACTATAGCAACTAACAAGAAAAAGTCTATGTGGACAATTTACTAATGTTTGCCCCTCCCATCCCATGCAGACTTGGGGGACATGTAAAACGAATTCATAGGCCCAATCTGGGATTGAGGGCCACACCACTAATGTAATATATTGCAATACTCATGAGCAATTCGTTTTAACACTATAACATAAACCAAAGGGACCCTGCCCCGTATGACTGAATGGTTAAGAGCAGTGGTTCTCAACCTTTCTAATCCCTCGACCCTTTAATACAGTTCCTCATGTTGTGGTGACCCCCAATTTCATTGTTACAAATTGAACATAATTAAAGCATGGTGATTAATCACAAAAACAGTATGTAATTATATATGTGTTTTCCGATGGTCTTAGGTCCCACGACCCCTGTGAAAGGGTCGTTCGACCCCCAAAGGGGTCGCAACTCACAGGTTGAGAACCGCTGGTTAAGAGCATCAGCCTACACACCAGAGGGTCTCTCAGGTTCAATTCCCGGTCAAGAGCATGTACCTGGGTTGCAGGTACGATTCCTGCCCCCAGTCGGGCACTTGCGGGGGGCGACCAATCAATGTCACATCAATGCTTCTCTTTACCCCCTCCCTTCCATTTTCTCGAATCAATGGGAAAAATCTAATCCTCGAGGAGTGAGGATTAAAGCAAAAACAAAGGGAATGTGGGAAAAGGTCATCAGGGAAAAAAACCTCTACACTGGTGCTTTGGGAAGAGCATTATACTTTCATTAGCCCTGTAATTTGTATTCAGGTAGAATGTAATCCTACCAGATGGCTTAAGCCACTATACCTACATTGTTTCTACCCTTTTATGGAGAGAGAACTATGGTCTTGGATAAGAAAAATAATAAGGCTTCAGGGATATTAAGTGCATTTTGAGTTGTTAGTCCTCACTCGTCATCCCTGTGATTTGCAGATTTAAGTTTTCTTAGGGCCTCTATTTTTTTTTAACCTGATAAATGAGTAGATTGATGAATTACAGCTGATATTAATGGTTCCTTCCAAATTTAAGTCTATAATTCTCTACACATGATAAATTAAGGAGGTTGGTGGGGAGACAGAAGGGTATAAGCAAGGAATAGAAAAAAAGATAAAGTCTAGTAAATTAGGGGTGATTTAGGATGACTGGACAAAATCCTATCAAATTTGGGGAGATGTCACAGGTTGGTTGTTTAAGATTTACCCAATGTCATAGGAAGAGGACTAATGCTAATTCAGAGGAATGCAGACATGCTGGCAAACTTTTGAGACTTAAACTTGCCTCCCCATTCTGGTTAAAGAAATAACTTCTTTGAGTAACCACTCATCAGCAGAAACAAGCCTGGGATGGACACCCGTTACTTGCTGCTTTTGGCAAGGTAAGGGATCTGAGAAATCAGAGAAAGTAATCTTCACTAAGTAAACTTCTTGCCAATTATGGAAGACCCTCTGGATTTAATCTGCCACAGGCCCATCTCCCTTTGTGAGGAATGACAAAGGATTACAAAATTAACCAGGGATACAAAGAGGTCCGGTCAGTTTTATAGACTCCCTAGTCAAGCCACAGGTCACAAGTTCCCACCCCTTTACACTTCACAGCACACAGTCAACTAAGGTTCTTACTGTGGCAACTTTATTATAGCTAGAAACACAAATCTGGCCAAGGCCAGCTGATAACTTAACCATTAAATAATAATAATAAAAAGATTAACGGAGAAGCTTTTATTCATTAACACAGAGCCTAACACATTGTTATATTGCAAGGCAGAATAAAGCTACAAAAAAGTAACAGAATGAGAAAGCAAGAACTGTGGCTCTAGATAAAATATTCAACAAATCAGACTCAGAAACAGGCACTCAGCTGAAATGGCCTAAACCTACACACGTTACCATTGCCCCCACCCCCACCCAGTTATCCCCCAAATAGTAAAAAGGAAATGTCACAAGCTCACAATTGTTTGATTCTCACCAATGTTAACAAAGGAAAACAAAGTGAACCAAGAATTACTTGAGGGAGTGCCTCAAGATATGCAATCAGTAGGGGGAGAATCTCTGTTTCTCGCCTTTCAGTTTGTTAGTTACACATGGCACGGCAGAGGTGGTGGTGGTGGTAGCTGAAGCCCCGGTACCCTTAGCAGCAGACACAACATTTAGAGCCAGGAGAGGGATGGGTTTCATGCCAAGCAGACTGGAGACACAAGGGGCGGTCGGAAGAGGGTTGGGGAGGCTGGAGGGTGCGTCGGAGGTCCCCGCTGTGGCGAGCGAGGGGGTGGTGGTGGAGGAGGA